TCAATTAAAAATTAATAATGAAATAAATGAGATCAAAAACACTCTGGAGGGAACCATGAGTAGAATAACAGAGACAGAAGATAGGATAAGTGAGTTAGAAGATAAAATGGTGGAAATAAATGAAGCAGAGAGGAAAAAAACAGAAAAAAAGGGAGTTGAACAGAAAAAGCTATGAGCATGCTACTTAACAAGCCATAGCTAATTAATGACTGATACAGATCTTGAATGCAAGTGAGCAAACTGCCAGTTCAGTGCTCTTTCTTCTCCATAATATTGCTTCTGAAAAGTGACCAAAAGCATTAAATAATACAATTTCTAAGAGCAATGTAGAAGACTGATTTGGGTGCACCACTGAAAAGAAATAGTACAACATGTTATAACATTCATAAAATTGTAACTTGTGGTGATCAGAGAGAACTGATTTAATCATATGTTATTGTAACTTACTAATTTTTTAAATTTCAAGATGCATTACACTGCAAAGTGACAAGATAAATAACAAACCCAAACTGAAGCTGTGTACTGATTGACCTACTTCTTATACATCCTTGCACCTTTCTGCACTCTACTGTCTTAATAGCTGACCCTGTTAAAAATATGTATTACCCAATCTAGTATCATACACAAAAATTGATTCAAGAGAATTCAACCATCTAAATGTGAAAGGTAAAGCATTAAATGTTAAGAGAAAAAACACAGGAGAGTATATTTATGATGAAGTTGGCAAGCATTTTTGAATCAGGATATAGACAGCACCAATTAAACACAATAAAATACTGATAACTGTATTTCATTAAAATCAAGAAATTCTGTTCATCAAAGGAAATACCATTAAGATATTGAAAAGGCAAGTTGTGAGGAAGTATTTGAAATTCATATATCTTAAGATTATATAATAAAAATGTATAAAGAACTACAAATAAATATTCGATTAAAATGGATTAAAGATTTGTTAAGGAAATTAAAATGGAGGAAGTCTTATTCAGGCTTCAGAAGCAGGAGAGCAATAGCAGGCCTCTGACCTGCTTCTGACCGGCCTGCACACTGCCTGCATTCCAAGCCTGCTGGCAAGCACAGTAAATCAGGCAGCAGTTTAGATAAGAAATGAAGTGGGTCTTGGAATCTTTTAAGCCCCCAGGGCCTGGCCAGCTTCCCACTGTCCCCTCTACCCCCAGGTCTAAGAAGTCTTATGACTTATAAGGTGAAAGAAACAGCATTGTAAAAGTTAAAGTTAAACCAGAGCTGCATTTTTGCGTGCAAACCGATGACAGTATCAGGCTGTGCCCTGGGGTACAAGCAATTGCAACCCCCCCCAAACAGCAGTTTGAAGTCTTGCCAATGGGGTGGAAGCAGCTCCTGGGACCTTTTCCCAGTTGGGACTCCAGATTAGTGTTAACAAGGGACTTTCCAGCACTGGTCAAGTCTGGATATTGAATGGCAGAATTTAAGGATGTGTGTGCTGTTACTTTTCTCTATTGTCTCTACATTTCCTCTTTTAATAATTGTATACTGAAATTAAGTTGGGCTTCCCAGGTGGCGTTAGTAGTAAAGAACCTGCTGCCAATGAAGGAGACATAAGAGATCCAAGTCTCATCCCTGGGTCAGGAAGATCCTCTGAAGGAGGGCATGGCAACCCACTCCAGTATTCTTGACAGGAGAATCCCATGGACAGAGGAGCCTGGCTGGCTACAGTCCATAGGGTTACAAAGAATCAGACATGACTGAAGCAACTTAGCATGCACACATACTGAAATTAAGGCAAATAATTTATTAAATATCAAAATTATTGTGTGTGATAAGTGGGTTCTTTTGTTAATGAACATATCAAGCCTAAAGTAAAACATCAGCAAAACAAGACTGCATAGGAACTTTTCAATAGATTATATACATAGAGCCAACAAGCATGGTATAAG